CAGACAAGACTGTCAAACTTTGTAACAAACCATTAGTAAAACTTCTGTATCTAGATATGTATCATATCACAGCATCAATATCTACATATATATATATCGTATTGACTACTATGATGAGATACACACCCCTAGTTACCACAGTTGTATCCAGAGCTTTCAATAATTGTCTCTTTTTTTTTCAATAAAGTCTACACGGTCTGGTTCAGTGGCTTTAGAAGATTATTCTTCTCTAATCTGTTATTACAATACAATCTGTGATAAGTTGATCTTAAAAATCGCCACTATACACTCTGTATCACTAAACTACCGATCAGGTAGTCTAGAACTAGAACTCAGTAATACTTTTTGATGTGTTTTATACCCCGACAGAAGTCTAAAACATTTCATGTATTGCTAGATATTCTGATGCAATAATACTCAGTTAAACCAACGAGAAACTTAGAAAGTTCTAGCAATAATCTTACTATTGTAAGCAATCGCTAATTCCTAGCAATAGTACCACACAATTTATGATTCGTAAAAAGTTATGTAAACAAATTAAAATAATACTAATTAAACTAAATCATAATGCTCTCATTAAACTAAAACTGAGACAGTCGTGTATATCTAACAGTAAGCTCCTCTTCAAGAAAAATACTTACGATATTTTTTTCTACTATATACAAAGACTGTTCTCAGTTCATGCTCTTAGTCTACTCATACAATCTGCACCAACATTGGCAGTCCCTTTGATGGCATCAATACAAAACTGATAGTTCTGGAGGTCCAATAATCACCTCAGGATCCTCACACTGTGAATTTTACATCTCTGGATGAATGCAAGTGGCTAATGGTTCGTTTGGATGATGAATTTTTTCCTAAAGAGTTAGTTCTAAAAGTTCTGGATAGCAAATATGATGGCCAGACACATTCGTTCAATCACTGTGAAATAACAAATTCTATTTTATTATGGTTATGGTTGTATTTATTGTTCACTTATTATTTCCTTCTATCGTTTAGTTATCTATGAATTTTTAGTTTCATTAAAACGCTGACTCACCTTCCACTCAATCATTTGTATTTTGAGTAAATATATGCGTGTATGATGAAATTGACACTCTCTTCCCTAGCAGTGATGTACAGATGCTATTAACTTAGCAGA